TTTGGCTCATCTGGCTGGCTTCTATTTCCTCATCCCCACATGACCTATGATGCTCACTCGCCAAACAGGTGTTGTGAAAATGATGTGCAAGTGGTTTGAAATCTTGAAAATACAACAGGGGGTTCCAAGGACATGCAAGAATGGAAGAATGTCTTTCATGGAAAACGAAAGACAGAAAGCATGTGATATCAGTACAAAATCTGGGTCAAATGATGAACTAGGGATTTCCTTTAAGTTTTTATTAGACACCATAGGTATGGCCTTAATGTGATGTTTGCCTATTGATGTAATATTTATCTTAAATTTCTCCAATATAACCTAAACATTAAAGAAATCAATATCTTTTTTGATCCAGCACAATTCTGACCACATTTATAAGGGAAAATTTATTTAAGAGACGGTTCTGTACTATAACATATGTATAAATAATTTTATGACTCATGCTAGCATCTAAATTTCATATAATTTACATGTAATTATATAAAAATTATGTAAATCATTCAGCTGTCTTAAGCATAATTTATCATCCCAATAATATTCCTGAGCTAAGTCTCAGATAGAAAGACCATGTATTGGAAAAGGTATAATACTACATATTAATATGCTTATAAAATTAAAATTAATTTTTACATATGGTATATGCATGTGTGTCTGTTGGTATGTGTGTGTGCAGGTGAACTCCTGTATGTGAAGGCAAAGTGTCTTCCTAGCTAGCTCTTTACTTTATGTTTTGAGGCAGGGTTTCCCACCAAACCTGGAGCTCCCCCTGATTCAGTTAGACTGGATGTCCAATAAACTCCAGAGATCCTCCCAGCCTTGTTTCCTCAGGATTAAGATTATAGGTGAGTCTTACTGTATGCAGCTCTTCACCTGTGAGCTGGGGATCAATACTTGGGTCCTCACGCTGAGCAAACTCTGTAACAACTCAACTGCAACCCTCACCCTATAATTTAACTAGTGATTACAATATGGAGGTCTGAAGACTTAGCAATGATTTAAAATGAGATGATATCTTCTTTGTCCGTGGAGACAGGATCTATTTAGATTAACTTGTCTCAGCCTTCTTTTTTTTTCTACACACACACACACACACACACCCACACACACACACACATTTGTGGAGTTGGTTGAGACAGGGTTTCTATGTGGCTTTGGAACCTGTCCTGGAACTAGCTCTTGTAGACAAGGCTGGTCTGGAACTCACAGAGATCTGCCTGCCTCTGCCTTCCGAGTGTGGAGATTAAAGGCATGTGCTACCGACGCCTGGCTCTTCTATATTTTTTTAATTTAAATGAGAAATAATCTTGTTTTGCATGTCAATCCCAGTTCTCTCTCCCTCCCTTCCTCCCTTGCCCCCATCTATGACTCCCTATTCTGCTCCCCAGGGTGGGCGAGGCCTTCCATGGCGGATCTTCAAAGTCTGTCACATTATTTGGAGCAGGGCATAGGCCCTTCCCCACGTGTCTAGGCTGAGAGAGTATCCCTCTATGTGGAATGGGCTTCCAAAGTCCATTTGAACATTCTTGATAAATACTGATCCACTACCAGAGGCCCCATAGACTGCCCAGGCCTCCTAACTGAGATCCACATTCAGGGAATCTGGGTTGGTCCTATGCTGATTTCTGTTATCAGTCTGGGGTCCATGAGCTCTCCCTTGTTCAGGTCAGCTGTTTCTGTGGGTTTCTCCTAAGTGCCAGGATTACAGGTGTGTACCACTCACTACACCTGGTCAAAGTGAGACTCAAGTTGCTAATTTTATTATTTTCATTTTCCTCTTTGATTAAAAAAATACTTTTTTTATAAAGCTCATAAAGAAATCTGGCTGGCAGTGGTGGTGCATCCCGGCACTCGGCACGCAGAGGCAGGCAGAGCTCTGTGAGTTTGAGGCCATCTTGGTCTACAGTCTGAGTTCTAGGACAACCAGGACTGTTAGACAGAGAAAGCCTGTCTCGAACCCCCGCCCCCACCCACACAAAAGAAGTCTCGAACACCCCCAAAACAAATCTGAAACACTTGGTGGATAGTGCTCAGTCTTACTCAGCATATACCCCACAAACGTCTTTTATCTCCAGCAACTATTTCTCCATCCTTCTCTTTTTGCAACAGTCTTGCTCTGTAAGCCACAGTCGTCTCAAACTCTCTATACACCTGCCTTAGCCTCCCAAGTTCTGAGATTACAGACATTGTAAACACCATCAATTATGACTTAATTTATTCAGTGATATATCTAAAATGTCGAGTGTGGGGGCTCCAATAAACAGAAGATAATAAAAATCACTACATGCCTAGTAGTAATACAGCTAGAAGGAAGTCATTAAATAGGATTGCCTTCTGTCTCGCCTTAGTAAATTATAGTCTACTCTCATAGGTTTAAGGTCTTTTCACCATTCTTAAAAAAAAAAAAAAATCAAACATCTTATATTTCTGTAGTCTACTTTGCTGTGGAGTTTACCTGCCCCCCCCCCCCGCCCAGGAAGTAGTTGCTAACAAAGGCTCGAAGAGGCTCAGTTTGTATTTCCTAGGCTCCAAGCATTCTCTCTGTTTTAGAAACGAGCTAAGTACAAAGTTTAAGGTTCAGCTCAGTGCTGTTACCTGCTTACAAGCCTCTAGGTTTAATCTCTGCCGTGGGAGTTGGGTAGGGAGTGATGACGAGGAACAATGAGACCTTCAGGCCCCTCTTAAGATAACCAGAGACAAGAAACTTACTGTAGGAAAGCTGGTGTTTAAATAGAGAGATTAGCTTTCTTGTCCCTAGGGAGACTGATCAAAAGGAGAGATTTTTAAAGAGGGTTAAAAGAAGATTCCACTACTGCTCACCATGTACCAGGCTCCCCCGCGCCCTTTGCCTTTTAAAGGCATCAACTTATTAAATAAAGTCACCACATGTACTTGTTTTCTGGTGCAAGTGTAGAGGTGTGGTTTATTTCAGAAAAGTCAGGTGTTTTTTTTTTAATCAAAAGTTCTGTGTATGTATGTGCATGTTTGTATATGTGTGCAGGTTCACCTATGCGTGCATGTGTTCGTGCGTGCGTGTTTGTGTGTTTGTGTGTGTGTGTGTGTGTGTGTGTGTGTGTGTGTTTGTAAGGGGAGGGCAGAGACTGACAATGGGCATCTTCCTCTAATCCACTTTGGTTTTTGAGAAAGTGTTTGGGGAAGGGGTTGTCTTCCACTGAATCCAGAGCTCACCAATTGCCCCAAACTGTGTCTAACCTCCCTGTGATAAGATAAAAGCACACATAACTTTTGCTGCCATTGTTAAGTCAGAGTCTGGGCTCTAGGAGTCCTAACAACCCAGGACCAAGCATCTGCCCTCAAAGGAACAGTTCAACAGATAAGTAACAGTGACAAAGAAAGGCATTTAGTGTGGCCACACTGGGAAAAGAAACAAATACTGAAATCCAGTGACCTCCTCACCCTGTTTCTCTTCAGAGTCCTGACATGAGGTTTAGGTTTAAATGCAGGGTAAAGGATATGACTAACTATGCAGTCCTGGGCAGAGTGTGGTCCCTTGCATCGCTGACCTAGCTCCCTCTCTCCTACAAGGTGGTCTGACAAGTTGTCAGAACTATGTGAAACCTCTTTTGGATAAATAAGTTCCTCCTTTGGCTAGCACCAGGCTTCAGCCTTTTCTTTCCCCAGTATGAGACTATGGAGAAATTCCAATAGACCATTGTTTTTAATAGTTTGATGGCTAAAAGAAGGAACATATGTATATATCTCTTTGGAATCTATCTTCAGTCCTGCCATGGTGGTTTATATAGTCATGGTTAACTGATCAGCTGACAAGAAACACCTGCACACAATATACTGGAAATATGTGAAGTGAGGAGCCGGAGTAACATAGCTAGCAGCAAGAAACATTCGAACAAAGGAGGTGTATCAATTCAGTGGATGGCTTGTGGTTAGGGATTGGGCTGTGGTATTCATGGGCCTATTGGTTGTGTTTACCTTCAATGGGAAGGCTTGTCAGGGCATACCGGATACACATAGGCCCAATCGCATCCAACAGTCCATAAATCCGAAAGGGAAATGTGTCTCCTTCGTCCTTCTCCAAAAGGTCCTTGTTTCCCACAAACATCATTCTTGGTGTAAAGCGCATCCCATGCTGGGGACGAGGTCCTTGACTAGTTTAGGGTCCAGCGGGAACAGTGACCTGGGAAGGCGGGGCGGGGTGGGGACGCTGGTACCCTGTGCCAGAACCAATCAGGACGCGCGGCGCTCCAGGGACGAGGGCTCTTGGTTCCCCTGCTCCGGGCGCAGCGCCGCCTGGCGAGTTGTGCACGGGCGGGCGGAGCCTGGTGGGGTCTCGGGGCGCACAGGGCTGTCGGGATTGTCCTCGTGGGTGTCCGCGGTCCGCGATCGCCGCGCGTCTGTCACCTTCTTTCCTTCACCCTCCGGGCTCCGGGCGTGCGCATTCGCGGGGTAGTCCGGGGTCTGTGCGGGGGCGGTGCCGCCTCTCCCTCGGGCTCCGCGGCGGGAATGCGGCTGCCGTGGCCGGCTAAGCAGCGGGCGGCGGCAGCAAGCGGAGCCCGGGCGCATTCGCCGCTGCCCGGGACGCCGCCCTGGCCTGCGCTCGGCTCCAGAGGCCGCCGCTGCGCTGCGGGGCCCGGCGCGGAATGAGGTGCAGGCCACGCGCCGGCGAGCGCCCGGCTCCGCAGCCCCCAGGTTCCCCGCGGCCGCCCGTGCCTCGCGTGCCCCGGAGCCCACGCTAGAGCTCCGCACTGGCCGCACTCGCCCGGGCGCAGGCCCGCAGAACGCACGCAACCCGGCCCGGGTCCCGATCGCGGGGACTCGCCTCTTGGACGCCGCCCGGGGTGCGGGGAGCCCAGCACGCTGCAGCCGGCGGGCCGCGCGCCGCATCTCAGCGGTCTAACCAGCCTGGCCCGTGGCTTTGGCCTCCACGGTGCCCGGTCCCCGGCCTCCCTCCACCTTTCCCCGCATCCTCCCTCCACCCTTCCCGCTGCTCCGCTGCTTCCCATTCATTGCATCCGTTTCCCCTTCCCGGCTCGGCCCTTCCCCTCAAAGCTTCCCCGGCCGGACCCCGCTACCTCTTGGGGTTCTCCGTACATTAATGAAAGTTTAGGGCCTGGACCGTGGCCCCGAGTCAGACCTAAGAGCGCAGCCCGCGCTGCTGGCAGGACAGAGGAAGATGTCTGCGCTCAAGCGGATGATGCGGGTCTCCAATCGCTCCCTGATCGCCTTCATCTTCTTCTTCTCCCTCTCCACGTCCTGTCTCTACTTCATCTATGTAGCTCCAGGCATCGGTAAGCACACGGACACACCCTCACCTCCTATGGTCAGAAAGAAGGTAACTGGGGGGGTTGAGCAGTTTGGAAGCTGAACCAGAATCTGATTTGACTTTTTTCAAAACTGTCGAAGAAACTGCTTGACCACGCTAGCTTGGTTAATAAATGTTTGAAAGAACTTAAAAGGTCGCATTCAGTGGATGCAGGGAAATGAGGGCCTGTTGGCGGAGGGTAGGAGTAGGGGTGGACTGGGGTGCCTCTTGTCGCTTTCTTTAGTATTCATGACAACTTTATCCGGTAAATTCAGTGTTTAATTGCAGGTTTATTCAGAAATCTTTATGTCCAGATACAATAACAGGTTGTGAAAATCTGATGGGGAAACAGGAACTGGAGGAAGGTCAAGTGTATGCATTGCTAGTATTGTAGGTCAACAGACATTTGCTCTATACTCAAGCATTTCAGGGGCTACGTTGTTGAAATACAGCTCTGTTATTTGGTCGGCTTGCGTCTTCTTGTCAAAGTCAGCCTGTGTTTAACCTGTTAGGATTCCTGCTCAAACAAAATGATGATTAAAATAATTATGCAAAGCAATTTGTGGGCTAAAATTGTTAACTTTCAGTTAGTTACTTTTGACTTTTGGTCCGAAATACACTTTTGCATGATCTTGGCTTCTTTATTGGAATATCCTAAATTCCTTATTTCTCTTCCTGTAGACAAGGGGTCCACATGGTTTTGTTTTAGTGAATGAAAATCTCTATGAATTTATATGGTTGTTAAAATATTCCCTGTTCTCTAAACCTGGATGAGTTTTCTCGTCACTGAGTATTTAATGTTGAGTGACTTAGTAACAGTGCATGTTCTGTCATTTCTTATTAGATATTCAGTTGTCTTTTTTGAGTCAGTGTTTCTCCCCTGAGTTAAAAATGTCATGTGTTTCAGAGAGGGAAAACATCTGCAGAATTTTGAGGTGAGATTTTTATCCCCTCAGGTGTGTGTGTGTGTGTGTGTGTGTGTGTGTATGTGGGTGTATGTGTATGGGGTGTGTGTCTGTGTGTGTGTGTGTGTGTGTGTATGTGTGTGGGGTGTGTGTATGTGTGTGTGTAGTGTGTATGGATTATGTGTATGTGTGTGTGTGTGGGTATGTGTGAATGTGTATGTGTGTGTGTGAATGTGTGTGTATGTGTTGTGTGTGTATGTGTGTGTGAATGTGTGTGTTTGTGTGTGTGGGGTATATGTGAGTGTGTGTATTTGTGTGGGGGTATGCGTGTATATGTATGTGTATGTGTGTGAGTGTGTGTATGTTTGTGTGTGTGTCTGTGTGTATGTGTGTGTGTTTGTGTGAGGTGTGTATGTGTGTGTGAATGTGTGTCTGTGAATGTGGGTGATAGGCGATGGTGATGAATTGCAGGGGAGAGACTGAAGCCTCATCCAAACTGATTTCTCATGAAAAAAGTTATTACTATATAATCTTTTCCTTATTGGATTTAATTAAAAGGTATACAGTCAGATAATGATGCTTGGAAAAACCTTGATGTATCATTGCCAACTAGAAGTTTAGGGTAAAGTTTGAAGGAGTATGAACATTTTAACAATTTGGTATTTTAGTTAGTGTTTTCCTTTAGGCAAACAACAAAAACCATTCTCTTGAAATTTTTGATACTTATGACAGCAGCTAACATTTTTGCCTGAATTAGGGCAACATTTTCATACATCTGGGATACAGGCTGTGTTACATTGGATATTTTGAATCTCTTTCATTAAGCAGTCTTTATTAATTCTATTACACCAGCTAGTTTGTAGATGTCAAATGTATTTTACTGTCTTTTCTGCCATTTAGTCTATTGGCTATTATTTAGGACATTTAGGAAAAGGTTATAAACAAAATCTTTCTTTCTTGCTATGTTAAACATCAAATAAATCATCTAATTCATAGAAACATTTTACTTTTTTATGTAACTCCTCAAAACTTGAACCTCTTTGGAGAATATTATTTTACCAGATATTTAGCTCGGAGAGATTCTGCACAAGAAAAATTTATTCAATGTAATATTTTTATTGATTTTTTTGGGAATGTCACATAATGCACTCAGGTCACACTCACTTCCCACAAGAATAATTTTAGAAATTTCTTTCTTTATTGTGTTGCGTATATGTGTACAGGTGTGAGTGTGTGCGTGCACGTGTGTGTGTGTGTGTGTGTGTGTGTGTGTGTGTGTAGGTCAGAGAACAACTTGTAGTCATCTCTTTTTCTACCTTGTGGGTCCTGCAGATCAAGTTCAGGTTGTCAGGCTTGGCAGCATGCAGCCTTACTTGTTTAGCCATCTTTCTAAGCCCTGACAAGATTTATTTGTTTATTATTTTTTAGACTGGAGTGTTTTATGTAGCCCTGGCTGGCCTGGAACTCTCTATGTAGATATAAATGCTGAGATTAAAGGCATGCACTACCATACCCAGTGTGACATTTTTTGAATTTATGACTTTGAACTTATAACTTTGAAAGTTCTTTCTTTGCTTTCTTGTTCCCCTTGTGATGGTGGGGATGAGTGGTACTCAGGGCTGTGTGTTTGTGCAAAGAAAACAATATATAAACAAGCTAATCCTGGGTCCTATTTCTTCATATATTGGGTAACACGATAAAAATTTAAGCAAAGAAATTCTGAATTCCACCTTTCTAGTGTTAGTATACTATCTCTAGAGTGTTAAAATTTAGTTGATATCAAAGCCTATACATTTTTCTTATTTGAGTGTATAATGTTGCCATAGAACAACCAATGATGAATGTCATAAAAACTTGGCAATTGTCTTGTAAGCAAGTAGGTCAGTATGGTAGCTTGAAAGAAAATGGCCCCCAAAGGAGTGGCACTGTTAGGAGGCATGGCTTTGTTGGAGGAAGTGTGTCACTGTAGGGCGGGCTTTGAGGTCTCTTTTGCTCAAGCTTCCCTCAGTGTGGCTGTCAGTTGACTTCCTGTTGCCTGCAAGATGTATCTCTCTCAGCTAATCCTCCAGCATCACGTCTGCCTTCACACCGCCATGCTCCTGAAACTATAAGCTAGACTCCTCAATTAAATGTTTTCCTTATAAGAGTTGCCACCATGGTCATGGTGTCTTTTCACAGCAATAACAAAAACCCTAACTAAGACAGAAGTAATAATTTAAATTACTCTATTTTGAGAACCTTATAATTAAAAATGTTAGCAGTGAATTCAGGAAGAAAAGTTAACCAAACATAAATGTTGTGAATTTTTTTAACCAGTGTTTTCCCCCCCTCCCCTTGTGCTATGGGGGGGGGTAGAAATCAGTGTCTGCCCCCCCCCCCAGTGCTATGGTGGGGGTGGAAACCAGATTCTGCACTCACCTTCTGCTATTTGGAGGGGACCTATCTGTACCACCCTTGTGCTATTTGGGGGCAGACACACTTGTGCTATGGAGGGACCCTGTACTATTTGGGGGGGCTTGAAGGGATGTTTTTCTCATCTTTCTTTACATTTGGGAAGAAGATTTCTTTTCTTTTTTCCTTTTGGTTTTTCAAGACAGGGTTTCTCTGTGTGGCCCCAGCTATCCCAGAACTCACTCTGTAGACCAGATTGGCCTAGAACTCACAGAGATCCTCCTGAGTGCTGGGATTAGAGGTGCACACCACCACTGCCTGGCTGGGAAGAAGTTTTCTAAAATTAAAAGTTTTGCTAGAAAATTCAAATGTTGTGTTTGGTGACAAAGGCTGTCTGCTTTCTTCTTCCCTCCCTCCCTCCCTCCCTCCCTCCCTCCCTCCCTCCCTCCCTCCCTCCCTCCCTCCCTCCCTCCCTCCCTCCCTCCCTCCCTCCCTCCCTCCCTCCCTTCTTTCTTTCTTTCTTTCTTTCTTTCTTTCTTTCTTTCTTTCTTTCTGTGTATATCAGGTCACTTTCTTCATGTCTGAGAAAATGCAGGTCAGATACACAGGTCTAACCACAGTGTGTCATCTGTTTTTTGAAGTGAAAATGATGTGGAAAAATGTGGTCAGTTGAGTCCCCAGTTCAGCAGCCAATTGCATAAGTGCTTTTCCTCGAGGCCACTGGTGCCTTGGTGCAGTGCTCTGGGCTCCCAGGCCATCACTTACTGCTTTATAGTTTTTATTGCATATACTGATAAACATCCTGCAATGCTTAATAGTCTCTCCCAAGTTACATCTTGAAGCAAAATTTCATCTTGACTGAATTATGCAACCTAGAAGTTCTTTTTACTATTTGTAAAAATTCCTTCTTATTTTTTGTGTATGACTATTTACCTGCCTGTATGTCTGTGCATCATATGCATGCAAGAAGCCAAAAGATATTGGAAGTTACAAAGCTGAAGTTACTAAGTTATTAGCTGTCTTGTCGCTGTTGGAAACTGAAACTAGGTCTTTTGGAAGAGTAACCAGTGCTCTTACCTGCTGGGCCATCTCTCTAGCAGCTCTTTTCTTTCCTTCTTTTCTTTCTTTCTTTTTTCCTCTCCAAGACAGGGTTTTTCCTTGGCTGTCCTGGAACTTGCTCTGTAGACCAACCAGATTGGCCTCGAACTCACAGAGATCTTCCTGCTTCTCTGTCCCGACTCGGATTAAAGGGACTCACCACTCCAGCCCTTCTTTTTGTTGGTTAAAAAAAAAAAAATGTTTCAAATCTGTCCTGTTAAGTCTTTATGCGGCACATCATATCAACCTGTTTTCTGGGTGTCCCTGTATTTCTCAACCTTTTGGGTCCAGACATGTTTGGTCAGGCGCCTTCCCCCAAACAGTGCTCCCATGATTTAGTTTACTCTGTCCTGTGCCCATCTCCTCCTGCCATTTCCCCTTCTGAGCTGACAGGCCTCACACAGTAGACAGCCAGTGGGGTTACTTTTCTGTTTTCTTGATGCTCCTGTGCATTCTCTGTGCTGTGGATCCTTGCTCAACAGAACTCAACACTCATTATTTTAAGAACAATTTGAAACATTTTCCCTGATACATCATTCGGGAAACACAAGATAGCGTCTTTACATTAACTTGGGTGCTGAGGGAACTGGGC